CAAAGTCAATCTTTTACATCAAAATAGAGTTCAGCCCATAACTAGAGATCCCTTTAATATTAGGACTTCAAACTTGTAACATGAGAAGAAGAAATTACAACAAGATGCACTGCATTAGAATTTTGACCTTGACCCCTTTCTGCCTTCAAGGTCAAATAAAGAAAAAACACGATCTGACCATAACTTGAGAACCCTTTGACATTAAGACTTTGGAACGTGCAACGGTTGTATAAAGAAGGGATGCATGCTACCAAAGTTTTTGACCTTGATTCAATAATTATAAGGTCAAGGTTAATTTTTTACATCAAAATAGAGTCCAAGCCATATTATGAGTACCCTTTGATATTAGGACTTTAAATTTGTAACATAGAAAGAAGACATTGATACAAGATGCAGCATACCAAAATTTTGGCCTTGACCTCTTTTCTTCCTCAAGGTCAAAAGGGGGAAAAACTTCATTACATCCTTCGTTATAAAGACTTCAAACATGGAACATGCAGAGGTTGTATAAAGGAGGGATGCATGCCACCAAAATCTTAAGATTATTTTGTTCTGTCGGGAGATTTATTTCCACAAGCTTCATGTTTATGTACAAAGAAATAAACAAAGCAGAAGACAATATATATTTATTACGTAACAAACATTCTATCATATTTTGTGTACTTTGTACATTTCGTGAGACCGCTTGAATCATTGAAAAAAAGTCGACTGAGTATGTTCTCAGTAGAGTTGAGAATGTAAAAATTCATCCTCAACAGAGTACATACTCAACTATGTTGGTGGTTGGTGATTTGAGAATTTTCTCAGTTGAGGACGTCCTCAACACTAGAGTAGAAAATTGAGGCTGAGTGGTATTATTTTGGTGGCGGCGGGGCTTGGATGGTATTATTGGAGCCAAAATTCCACGCCATGTCAGTTCAAAAAAATACTCCTGTTAGGTAAAGTACGAAGATGGAGTTGTCATTTCGTGGTACTGTAAGTGTAAAGCCAGCGCACGTATTGTTGGTTGCTGCGCACATATAACAAGCGGGATTTGGTTTCTATCGCATGCCCGACATCAGGATAAGCCCGTGCAAGGAGTGCGTGATTGGTCAGAACACCTCGAGGACGCAGCTCGCGTGATCGACGATTCTGACAGCGGCGAGGAGAGCTCAACTGAAGAATAGATTGTCTAGTTACATGTATTTTCTTGCAGTGATATTTTTCACTTTTATCGCTGTTTATTATCATTGAAACATAAATATTCAACAGAATGCTAATACATAAAATGCTTAGTACATGTATCATAATTTTCACCGTATATATTAATCTTATATACGATTCTATTACTGCAGCGTAATTCATGTTGATGTTTGAATAAATTAATACCATATGTTGCAGATTCGAGCAAAAATTGTTAAGATGTATATTTATTAATGATTGTTATAAAGAATTTAATTTCTAATCATGATCATGTTGTATCCTTATTTCTAAATCGGTTAAAAAACGTTACGAATTGTTTTATACAGAATAGGAATTTATCATAGCACCTTTACAATAAACGTCCCAAACGTCAACGCTAAAATGGCGACGTTAAGTTCCAAACAATGGCATTCCAGGCATAAATTTTTCGTAATATTCATAAGATAAATATATACTGTTATATATTATCTGAAAGGAAATTTTTTTCGCTTTCCACCCCAGCATTTAAAAGTAAATTTCACAACGCGGCATTTTAAAGGCCAAAACGCCCCTTGTTCTTTGACCTTGAAGAAAGTGTTAAAGTTCAAATATTTTGCTGCAGTGCATTTAGTCTCAATGTTGTTTTTCCTTATTCAAAGTTTTGAAATCCTAATGTCAAAAAGTTCTCAAGTTATGACCTAGACTATATTTTCATGCAAAAGATTTACCTTGACATTATTAATAGGTCAAGGTGAAAAAAAAAATGTTGGCATTCACCCTTCCTCTATACCACCTCTCCATGTTCCAAGTTTGAAGTTCTTAATTATTGTCTAGTTTTTCTGTTTCTCTGTTTTCTCTATTTGACCTTGAAGAAAGGGGTCAAGGTGAAAATTTTGATGGGTTGCATCTTGTTACTATGTCTTCTTTCTATGTTACAAGATTGAAGTCCTAATATCAAAGGGTACTCAAGCTAAGCCTGGACTCTATTTTGATGTTAAAGATTGATCTTGACCTTATAATAATTGGATCAAGGTAAAAGATTTTGGTGACATTCATCCCCCCTCTTCATATCACTTCTGCATGTTCCATGTTTGAAGTCTTTATAACAAAGGATTCTTAAGTTATGGTGTAATCAAGTTTTTCCCCTTTTTGACCTTGAGGAAGAAAAGAGTTCAAGGTCAAAATTTTGGTATGCGGCATCTTGTATCAATGTATTCTTTCTATGTTACAAATTTAAAGTCCTAATATCAAAGGGTACTTATAATATGGCTTGGACTCTATTTTGATGTAAAAGATTGACCTTGACCTTATAATTATTGAATGAAGATCAAAAATTCTGGTGGAATGCATCTTTCCTTTATGCAACCTCTGCATGTTCTAAGTTTGAAGACTTAATGTCAAAGGGTTCTCAAGTTATGGTCAGATCGTGTTTTTTTCTGGACCACTGGATAGAGAATTCTGATCTATAATAATTCCAAACTATTCAGAAATTGAAATAATTTGTAGTCTGGATCAGTCATTAAATTCAATCAATAAAAAATTGAATTCTTTATAACAAATTAAATTTGTTATAACAGATTTGTTGAATTCGTTATCGCGAATCCAAAAATATGTTATAACAAATTAAAACCGTGAAACGAATTCTAAAATTTGTTATAACAATTTTTTTTTAACAAATTCTAAAATTTACTACGGATTAAATTCCTGATATCAAATTCAAGAATTAATGTCTTACAGTCTATAGAAAAATGTATATATATGAATTTGATATTACGAATTGTCGGATTCGATTAATCAAATAAGATTCGCTTTATCAAAAATTTGGATTCCGTTATAACAAATTTAATTCATTATAACAGGTTTTAGAATTCGTTAAAACGAGTTGAATTCGTTTTAACAAAATTTTGAATTGATCTAACGAATTCAAAAAATTTGTTATAAAGGATTAAATTTGTTATAATGGATTAAAGGATTAAATTTGTTATAATGGATTAAATTTGTTACAATGGATTTAATTCGTTATAACGAATTCAATGAAATTGATACAATGAAATAAATGGGTTATAACAAAGTCTACAATATTCATTTTTTCCTCAATGGACTTCATAAAGCAACTTCTGACTAATAAAATTCCAATCCATTGTTTTCTCAGACGACCAGTTGCTTTCTTTCCAACATTTCCAGTTATTTTCCGCGGTCTTAGATTATGTGTTAGCATTTTCTAAAGTGTTCTTATATATGCCTCTATCACCAGTTATTATTATTATAAACATATAGAGCGTATCGCCTTGTACATCTAAGTCGGTATACAATGCCATCGTTTTCTTATCTCTCTGCTTACAATTGTTTTTTTTAACGACTTACTTTTTTTTAAATATAATATGTCTAGAAATACTTTCGGGCGTTTGATATTCAAGATGATGGTGTTGTAGAAGCTACAAAAATGACAGGGACAACGAGACTGTTAAAAAAAAATTTAACAACATTAAACAAAGAGGTATTTTAGTTGTTTAATTCTTGTAGGTTTCATTTAGACTTGTTGATTATTTAAGATTTGTTTAGTTGATTTACATCGTTTTTGTCAGTGCGAAAACTATATAAACGTTTATTGTTATCATTCTTGTTATCTTTTTGGTTCAAGTTTATGCAAAACAAAAAACTGTAACATTAACACACTCATGACGACAGATTTTAAAAGTTTTCGCTTTCTTTAAATTAGAAAATTGCAAAAGGAAAGTGTTACATGAATGACGCGAATTACATTTTTAATATTTTTCTTTCTCGATGAATGAAATATGAATTGTCTAACCTAAGCCTGCTTAAAAAATATAAAAAATATATAGATATATTCAATGTAATTAAGAGAGGTATGTATTGGCATAGAAAAAGAAAAAAATGACATGTTGCGAGGGCCAAAGACAGGTGGTGGTCCGGCTCCTCCCTCTCTTTACAGCTTCTGAGGACGCCTTGATGTAGGCGTTTGACGGGTGACCACAGATCTGCGGATTGCCGGATGGCATTAACACAGACGTCACTGATGGTAAAAACAAAAATGAAATGAAACTTTCAATTTTAAATTTTGCCGAATCCATGTTATTACATTATATATGTAAACGAGTAGCAAGAGTCTGTTACATTCACAATGTAAATGTTCATGCAAGAATTACACATGTAATCGTAAGGATGTATTGAATTGCGTATAAATTTAACAGAAATTGAAAAGGGCATGGAATCGAGTACGCCAGCCTCTACAACTTCGACTTCTGCCTGTACATCTTCTATCATCTTTAAATCTTTGACTACAGCCTTAGAATCTGATCGACCAGTCTCTCCTAATAATTCCGAAAAAAATATTGAAGGATGTACTTGAAGAAGAAGAGTTGGAAAATCTCAGATTGGATAATAAGAAAATTAAACTCGAAATAGAGAAAATTGATAATTGAAAAGCAAAAGGTGGAGGCAGAAAAGGAGCTCATTGATGTTAAGAAAGCGTTTTTGGTCCGTCAGTTCGAGGAGCGATTTCCCAATTCTGTCATTTATACCACTACAAGTAATTCAAGTATGATTAATGAATTGTAATGATGTGTTGCACAAAAACAAATTAAAACCAAAATGAAGAAACTGATTTTCCAAAATGTACATGTAAAAGGAAAAGAAATTATACATGAAACCTATAATATTGTTTTAAACAAATGGAATACATATAAAAATAAGTTTGATTCTCTGTCATTACTGTCAAAATCTGTATAAATAGCAGTATCGCTTTGTTCTGTTATTTTTATCCTTATCAAGCCAAGATCAATTAACTTCGCGAGTTTTGTATAGGTACATGTATTAAATTATTTTACGCAAGTGAAATACGTATCCACGATGTAGTTGTGCATGTTGAAACCATCACCAGTTAATGCATTGTTGTAATTGTTGTTTCCACCATAAAATTGAACTTGTGTAGATTCAACGATGTCTCCTTGGTCTATTCCAGTGTTATGCAATATTGCACAGGCAACGATGTACTTCGTTGCTTGACGTGGGGTTGTCCTGCATAGAATGATTGGCAGTTTATTTCTCCAGTTAAAGTTTGTTGAAATATTCTTTGTCCCCACTGACAAAATTTAATGATTGAATGCAATAATACTGATAAAGTATATTGAGCCTAGCTTTACAAATATTTCAAACAACGTTTTTATCAACTTCCATATACCTAAGTACTCCTTGTAGGCACGAAAATCGGCGCTTCAAGATTCCAAACGTTTGTTCTACTATTACCCTGGTCTTACAAAGTGCTGCATTGAATTTCTGTTTTGGGACAGTAGAAGGATTTAGAAATGGTGTCATCAGATACCTTTTACACGGATAGCCAGAATCTCCTAGTAGAAATCCGTTATATTCACCTATTAAATGAAATACAGAATTACACCCTATAAAAATCCAAGTAATCTGGATTTGTGCGTTTGAAATAATAAGAACGTGATTTTTATATATATGCAAACCCAAGTACCGTTTTCAAATTTCTGACACAATGCAGATTCGCGCCATATTCGGCTGTCGTGGACGCTACCAGGCCATTTCGCACAAATACTTGTTATTCTGAAGGTGGCATCGCAGACAGGCTTTAGAAGAAGTCAAATATTAAAACGAAACATAATTATACAAGGATATTACGTTGAAGCATGCTTTTTAAAATTTGCGATAATCAACATCAACATGCGCGGGTTTGATGAGGAATATGCATCCCCCAGTGATATTCTGGTGATTAGATTGATTAAGTGACTGTGACTAACCCCTCCCCCCTTTTTATTCGACAAATAGGATTTGGACGGCGGCGGGACCAGGTCTTCGTTCACAAGGATTTTGTATGTACCGTCATCCTGTAATTGTTCCTGAGTGTATGTTTTGTCATTTTTACTTGGTTCACTCCTAGCGTTAACTGGTGAATTTCAGAATCGGACAGTTTTGGGAAGTCTTGCGCAAAACCTGCTGCATCAATTTTCTGCTCTGAATATGTCCTGTTGGACAGTCCGGATCCATTACTTTCAACAAATTCCTGTAGCTCGTTTTTCCGCTTAGAGAGATGCAGCATTTTCAGGGCAGTGGCCTGATCCTCCTCCTCATTGCCAGAACTTAAGGCAGAAGTAAATCTGTTGCATAGGGCACCCACGATCCTTATGTAGTCGCCAATGAAGGGAATCTGTGTATTTGGTATGACATGATTCAGATATTTCCACCTCTTCAACCTCGCATTGGCCGACTCGACTACCCATCTTACCTAGATAATTGATTTGAAATTAATGATTTAAACAATGCATTAGTTTTTAGAATGATATGAAATATTTCATAAGTACTAGAAGACAAATACAATGTACACATGTACATGAAATTTAAAGTAAAATACCTTAGTTATTAAGCGTAAATGGCTAGCTTCCTGTGTGGTGTGTTGAGATGTACCTCTCTGCATGAAGCAAGGCATTTCCATGTTGATACCAATGTCTCCAAGCATCTCGGAACTATCCCGAAATCCACGATCTACAATGAATGTGTCACCATCCTGGAGCCAGTCTCGCATTTCCTCGGTGTTGTTCCGGATCATGTGATTTAAGATTCCGGCATTGTTGTTCTTTGAGTCGGCGAGGTACGGCCCCAGAACAGATACCACATATCCTGACGTAGTTACTACCATCATCGGTTTCACAAATGGCCTGTGTTTGTGCATGCTGAAGGAGCGCCTTGAAAGTCTGAAGTTACATGATTTCTGTACATAAATGTACGTCGTGGCGCAGTGGTTAGAGCGTCTGCTCTAGAGTCGCGAAGTAAGGAGTTGATCCTTACGTCGCGGGTTCGAATCCCACTGTGGGACGTGGAGACCGGTCCTTCGGATGAGACCGTATAAACCGAGACCCGTGTCGCAGTAGGTGCTGGCACGAAAAAGATCCCTCACTGCTCAATGGCCGTAAGTGCCGAGTATAGGACAAAATTTGCAGCTCTCCACCGGCAAGTGGTGGCGTCTCCATATGAGTGAAAAATTCTCGAGAGGGACGTTAAACAACATACAAACAAACAAACATATATGTACGTCCCGTCAAGAACAAGTAGGACATGTGGGTCTTGTTCATAACCAAGGGAAAAGAGCTCTTTCGCCAATGGTCTAGTGTGGTTGGATATAACGTCTTCTCTAGTCACTTGACCAAATCCAAGATTTTGAGGGACAAAATCTTTTTATAATGCCCTCCGTGCAGATGATATAGCACGACGAATCTAAAATTCAAAGTAAGAGCATTTACAATTTCATTACTTGCATTTGATTTCTTAAATATTTTTATAATTTTTTAAAGTCATTGATTCATTTTTTTTTTTTTAAGGATCAGTTTACATAATTGTACCTGCCACTTTTTCATGTTGAAAAGGGTACACATAATCTTGTTTTCAAGGCCACATCTTAGTTTGACGAGTAAGACGACAATGCATGTTCTAATACTTCTAGATTTAGAGGTCTTTATATCTTGACTGTGGCTGACAACTTCGTTAAATTGTGTTCAATCTAAACCCGTTAGATTGATGTAATCCTGATCAGACATATGGGAATCATTGTCTAAGTCAAGTCGAACAGCTCCATTGTGTTTTGCTACATGTACATCTCGCAAGCTTTAAAGAAACTGAGCAAGACCAATCTCATCAAAGGACGTGTAACAGCGAAGACTCGTTGCGACACCTGATTTTAAGACATCTTCAACAAAATGAATGTGGCACGGGCAACACGTAGCCCCAGGCTTCATAAGAAAAAACTTTGTACGAACATCTCAAACATCTCACACCTTGCTTTTTCTAGAACAACTAGTTTGCGGGCCCTTTTCTTACATATGACACATGCATCATGTCTGTATCCTGCAGAAGATACCGGAATTGTAATGGGTGGAACACCTTTTTTTTGTTAGGACTATCAGAAGCACTGGATGTTCTAGGAATATCAGGTCTTGTATGAGAACAGTAGTACTGTTGTCGACATCGATTGCAATGTCATTCTCACATATGTCCGTGACAAAAGTCTTGGATAAAAACTTTCTGAGATCTTTATTTTTCTTCCCGTGCAGAAATCTTTTCTCATTTTTCTTCACTCGTTTATGGCATGTAACGCATGAATATGCTTTGATTTTATAAATATTTATCTGAAAAATAATACATAGACATTTAATAAATATAATTGTTATACCTTTCAAAATTGTTTCCTATATAATTCTATACAAAAAAAAGTCTAACATTTCCAGTAAATTGCTGAGCGGTCATAAACAAAATCGATGTTTGACCGCAGAGCGAGATATTGGACCTGTCGATGAGATGTTGGACCGCTTACGTCACAGTATGGGCGGGGTCAGCTGTATCTTATCTGCATTTGTTGGAGTTCAACAAAACTTTACGGAATTGACCAAGTTTAAAGCGCAATGCGGGTAAACAAAATTTACATTATTTTATGTCAAAATAAAAAGTAAAAGGTATAACAAAACATTTATTGACTGTGTTCTCGGGCAAATGCGTTTTGTCGACCCCTCGAACCAAACTGTTTGCCTGAGGCCTAATGGCCTCAGGCAAACAGTTTGGTTCTTGGGTCCGAGAAAACGCATTTCACAGATATTAGGGGCGGATCCAGGATTTGAAAGGGGGAAGGGAGGGCGCCATCTGATAAGGTAGAGTCTAGAGGCCGTCATCCCCATTGGGTCTTGAACGAGGCCCTGGTGGGGTCTTGGGGCGAAGCCATACAAGGAAGTTCCAAAATTCTAGGAAATTAAAGTGTTCGAAGTAGATAATTGATCCATTTCTTGTTGTCATGCTTAATGATGAGAATTAATATAACAATGAATATTTTGGATCTTTAGGATCAAACCCCAGTAATCAAAACCCTAGAAGCACCTGCTAAAAAAGAATATACAAATATACATCTATCTACGCACCTTCGTTTGATAAATTATTTATCTGTTAGGAAGAAACAATAGTTTATCTCAAGTTTATTGGTTTTATGCCCCCCCCCCCCCCCCCGCACTAAATATATTAAAAAATATCCATAACTTGTGTTATATCGCTTTTCACTTTCAGAAAACATAAGTTGAAAGTACACATAATAAATGTATTTTTGTAGAGCTACAGATATATATCATTTAAAATATACAACTTCGGCAATTCACTTCATTACAGTTTTAATTTTAAGCACATGCCAAGAAAAAGTACGCATTTTAGAGCGAACTCGATAAACATTTTGTTGTGGAAAGTACTGCACCCTATTAAGGTATCACACCGGTAATTGACCAATGAATATGAACTTCATTGTATTTCTATAATTTTTTTTTTCTTTTGAGACTATGATTTTTTTTTTTAATTTTCTTCCAGTGTATTTTTACAATTTTGGTACCTGTGCCTAGTACATTTTATGTACTTTGTAAATGAATGAAGGTTTTTGACAGGAACTATTTTTTCAGGACAAAAGAGGAAACTTTCTAGTCTGGTTCCCGCCCCGCCATTGCGTTTTTCACTTCGATCGTTCCCAAAACGAAATGAAAAACTTAGTGTCGGGGGCGGGAACCAGACAAGAAACTTCTTGGTGTAGAGGTTTATTTTTCTTTAACTAAAAAAAAATGAAAACTTAGGACCCCCCCCCCCAAATCTGCTGCCGTTGTCTTGCCAGCGTTAGGGGAAATAATCTGCATCAATTACACTCTTATTGACCCCATTGCTGTGGAAAATGACCGGGATTTCTTGGCATAGATATTATCACTATTGTCTAGTAGCCGAGGTTGGGAATTGGGGTTAGAATTTGGAGACTTCAAAAGTTTCGCTTTTGACTTTTTCGAATCAATATATATTATTGTTTCGGTTGAAATAGTGTGTTCATATATAATGCGTATAATACAATTATTATAACCAATAACATGATTATCTATATAATAACGCAAAGTTATGAAAATGTGAGACCACCTGTCCCCGAATAAATTGTCGCCTTACGAGGCTCTAGAACACATGTACCTATATCATATATAGGTGCTTGTCATTTCATTTATTAACACACACGTATTTCATCGCTGGGAAACAAACGCTATTTAAAATCAGAAATAACAAAATACGCATTTAGCAAACACACTGCAGATCTATAGTACATTAATATGTACATGCATATGTTTACATGTAATTCTGTAAAGGACACAACTAGGACTTAAAGAGTGTTCTGAAAAAAAAAACATGCAATAATCGATATGTAATAATAAGTATATTCTTATTTCAAATTCAAACTTTTTTCTATGCTTGTGAAAACATTTTTGAGTTTTTTTTTTTTTCATTTTAAGGGGCTTTGAAACCTCTCTCCGAAAAAAAAAAATCCGCCCTTGTATGATCGATACTTGTGAGATAAATTGCAATTACTGTAATATCCTAACTTATTCGTTATTAGAGTGTCTATGGTTAAAAAAACAGCATGTATACATTTGTTATCAAATATAATATTCGTAATATTTATACATGTTTAATTTTTAGAATGTAGTAAGCCTGTGAGGAATGTCAATAAGTAACTCTAGGACATAACCTCATAAGTGAAGGCTGACCTTATGCCAGACACGTTACCCCCCCCCCCCCTTTTTTTTTTCTAGCTATGTGAAAATAATTAATATATATTACCAACTTTCCACAACTTTTTTTTATCTATGTTACAAAAAAAAGTAAAGGGGTGCTACTAGCATTTCGAGGACATTTTCAGTAGTAAAAGGTTACGTTTGAAAAAAAAAAGTGGGGAGAAGGCAGGACTCCTTGATACGTACGTACGTGCCTATATACATGTATTTTTTTTTTTTTTTATACATGTACAATACTAGTATCATGGACGAAATGAGCCGTTTGATAATTAAATTCAATAAATACACATCCATACTGCGATGTTCATTTAGCTACTGAACTTAATCTCTGCAAGTTAACAATCATAGTAATGTGTTGAAATAGAATATGTCAGTCACTAATCACCATTTATGATTATCGTTTTTACTTATTTGACAGAACGTTTACGTCTTGTATTTTAACGGGTTGCCTCTGATTGAGAATACACATTTTTACAAGGAAAAATTCTTCACTATGGGTGTAATATAGTATTTGTGTCCTTTAATTAGCCATGTACGATGTCACTGGTTGCATGTGTGCAGGCTAAGGGCCGTCAGTCAAATAGGTGTTATGTCTATCTCTGCTTTTTGTATAAGTATTGAATCATGTTTTCGAAAGTAAATTTGAGAAACTACAAATAATAAAATACTTACTATCAACAGGTATGCACCATTTTTCAATGTCAATGTATAATTATTCTTCAAAACTGCAACTCTAGATAATCTTCAACAGCTCATTTGAATAACGGTTTCCAAGGCAATCATATACCGAAAATGACAGTTGAACTTTTAAAGAAAATCTGCGAATTCCCTAAACATTTTCTGTATTTTACATAGGGAGCGCAGGTGACAACCAACATCAGTTTTTGCATACAGCAAGAAGAGGTGATATTGCATATGTATACCAAATATGAAATTGGTTCTTTAATGCGCTGGTGTTGAAATTTACGATGAAAAGTTGAATTCAATGTATATTTTCTTATTTTTCATTGAACGCACTGTGTTTTGCACGCCATTATGACGTCTCACTAAGTAATACGTCATTTTCTAATAGATGTGAATAAAGTACATAGCCTTGTCAGTTTATTAAACAACACTGATACATAAAATATGGGAGATGAAAATATACGAAA